CCACTCCGATGGGGAAGATAAAAGGTTCCGAGAGATTTGCACCGCGTTCTGGTAGGTGAATTGCGAGCTGGCATCTTTCCATACCATAGTCGATGACACGGAATTGGACGATAGTGTGGATCTGCCTCACATCATCTTCAGTGAATGCACCAAGCTTGAAAATGAAAGTGAACTCACATCGTTTTCCACCCTCAAGCGGAGGTCAGGAGGACTGATCCTTCCCAGCTCAGATAGCTTTCGCAGACGATCTACTGGAAAGACTTTGTTCGGCTCTGATGCGCTGATCTGTGCATCGACGCGTGCCCGGTTTTTTATAGGTGGGTACACGGAGGCATTGACTCGTCCTGAGGCGTACAAATCGTCCAAACCCACATAGGTGTTCGCCACTGGTAGCGGCTTCCCGTTATCAGCCGTGGAAAGGAATAGTCGGGCGATATAGAGGAAGGCAGAGAGGTCGACGAGAACGAGGAAAAGGATAATAAGAGCGAGCCAGTTTGGGCCATATTTAGATGGACGGGAATAAGCTGCAGCATTTTAGATGGTTTTAGAGAACACTTGAAAACGGAAAGCATCCGAATACTCACCTTTCTCCTCCTCAATGTCATCGCTACTCCTGGAGCCAGCACTCAACAACGCGAACTCCTCTTCGCTTTCTGGTTGAGCTCGAAGAGACTTGTACATGGCGGGGGTAGATCAAAAGGGCAGGATAGACCAAGCAAGACGCGAAACAGCCAGGAGAGCTCCCAGATACCATGCGTAGCAGTGCCGTGATTGACATGAGCTCCCAGGGATCATCCGTCCACTGAATCACGCCAGAAAGGAGCGTCCAGATTCCGTTTTTCCATGGAGGTTCACATGAAACTGATACAGTATTTCGAGAATCCTGGCCATACATGTCTGGCCCGCGTTCCAAGAGAGGCTAATCATGAGGAGATGATGGTGACAGATGTGCAGGGCCTGCAGTGAGACATTTAGACGCGCATGGCGATGGCAATTGCCGTTCATTCTCGTTAGGGCAAGATTTTATTCAAGTTCAACTGTCTCCTCTGCTTACGAGGGTCAAACAGCCTGGGAGGCATGAACTAGTCGACATGCGATCTTAGTCGGACATGACAGATTGTCCCCGGTTCGGTGTTCTATATTTATGTGCAATACTGACATCTGAATGTGGATTTCTCGCAATCAGATGAACTCTGTCTATCGAGTCGGACATACATCATTGATTGACTGCACGAGGGACGCCCGAGTCTGTGAGACTAGATGATGCGCAAACAAGAGCGTCCGGTCATTCCAATACACGAAAGAACAAGCTAGAACGAATGATAGGAAACACACCTCGCGGGGTGCAATACTTGTACATGAAATGCTCGAATACATTCACATTGGCTTTCCACCGCAGGGTAAATCTTCCTTTGTGAATATTACACAGCCAATAAAAACGACAATATTCCTAATAAGAGAAGGGTGGATCAATGAGCGGTCAATTCGACATGGACGCCGTACTCTCACTCACTCTCGCCACCGGAGCAACCGCAACAGCTCGATACTGCGAAGGGACGTTCAGGGCTCAAACACCTTTGCGTCAACGCGGACTTCTAAAGAGGCAGACGCAAAGTTTCAATAAAGACAGAAAAGGTCGACGAGGAGACGCCATGAATTGACATGCAACGTACCGTTAGCCCTTGCGATCGCAGCTGCCTCGGGTGCCGAAAACGGTGCTGCGGCGACAGCAGACGTGAACGCCACGAGGAGGGCAGCAATGGAGAACATGACGGTCTTCATTGTGAAAGGGTGGTGAGGTGATGAAGGGGTTGGTAGACAACAAACGACTGTGTAGCAGAGAGCCTGACCAACAATGAATGGTATACGAAGGCTTCTTATACCAGATCAGCTCTCCGAGAATCATGGGAGCGCCTTCAAGCGTCGTCACTGGCAAGTGTCGTGCTTCTTGAAACTTGCTAGCGAGTTCCCATCCAGCAGTTGCGCTATGCCGAACCCGGCTTTCCACAAATTGCGGAGCCACACCACATGAGCTTGCGTTGAGAGGGCCCAATGGCGTTGGTGTGATTCTGTGAGTACACACAGACACGACAGGTGGTTGACAGGCGAATGAATCTGCGTATCATGGTAGCACCAAGCATCAGAGCGTTACAGGGACAAGATCGTGTAAACAAATCATCCGAATACTCACATTCGGTGTATCAGGATGCGTACCACTACCGGAGGCGAACTATGGCCATGGTGCCGTGCCCCAATCTAGTGCCTCATCGACCGATTTGGAATAAACCTAGTCTAAATTCCAAGACAGGCACGCTACTTAGAGCATAGCCAAGGGGCAAATGAAAACTTCAAACAAGAACGAAAGGATGTCAGCTAAGATACACGCCGACGCGTTTGATCAGACGAACCTGGTGTTTAGATGGCGAATGTCCGAGGCTGCTTATCGCCGCTTCCGGATGATCAGAACTCAGGAGAGAAATGACACTGGTGACGCTGAGCGGCGACGTATAGGCGATGTCAGGCATAAGAACGACAACCATAAGCCTTAGGCGCAAGACCATACTTCCTCTCGTACTGGGGAATAAACTCACCAGTAAAGTATCCATTCGATTCCGATGATTGAATCCATCAAGACTGGGAGGGTACACCGTTGCCAGTGTGTACGGAAGGCTCACACGGCACGGATACTTTCTCAGGTCGCTGGGCAGATCATCATGCGTTTGTTGCATAGCTTTCTGAACCCGCGAGGAAGCGATTACCGAGGATGCTATTAATAAACACCCCACACACTTCCAGCCAACTGGTGTGTTTTGTAAGAATTCGGACATACCTCCATCCTCCAGAAGAGACGCAATGCGACGCACTCTCAAGGGTATCTCGTTGACAAACTTAAGCCTCCTGGTGCTCTCCACCAGCCTTGTGTTCAAGCTAGGACTGGCGATATGGTTGAAGAAGCTCAGGACAGACACCCCGCTCGCAGACAGATATAGTACGCACGATTCATCCAACTCCTCCGATGCGCCACCCATCTGAACATCCTCCGAAACCTCCAGCCTACGTCGGAGACGACTATCCCGAGACATGGCCCATCCCCGTCCCCCACGTCATCCTCGCCTCCGACGCCTCCTCACGCTATCACATGGACACCGTTGACGGGGCAGCAGAATGGGGGTCACTCGTCCCGGGGGATGGCATCATCCACCTCGGGGAGAACCGCACGCCATACACCATCTCAATGGCACACCAGCTCCGATGCATGGACATCCTGCGCCAGTCTGTGCTTGAAGACCGCAGTCGACCGGAGACGGCGAAACCGGGGGATTTGGCGAGACATTGTTTGAATTATCTCAAGCAGATGATGTTATGCAGGGGCGACACGTATTTGGAGGCGTTCCAGTATGATAATAACGACGTTCCGATTGATTTGTTCTCGATGTATGAGTGTAGGGATTGGAGTGCGGTGTATGAGGCGATGAAGGAAAATCAGAGAGAATATGCTGAACGAGGATCAACTTGAAAATGGACAATAAACAACTTGAATGATACTTAGTTTGCTCAAACGTTTATCACACAAATATACACTTCATATCCATCGGTATAAAGTCGTGAACAAGCATAACATATCTTTAGATTTACCAAGCAAGCAGATCGGATAGAGAAGTCGTAACATTAATAAGCATCGACCGCGACAGCGCAGCCCAACTGTCTTCCTCCCGATTCGAGCTGCGAGACAGTTCGTTACGCGCCATATAGTCAACGCGCAGCATCGAGACATCGCGCAAGGAAAGCTCCGTGAGCAGATCTGGGACTCCGAGGTACTCACGAGCCAATTCGCGCCTTCCCTCTTCCTCCATCGCAAGAACGCACCGGAACCTGGGGATATCATGCGACAAGACCCTGTTTCTTTTGTGCATGGGTTTCTCTTCGAGCTCGCACCCATGAGCGTAGAAGACCACCTTGTTGAAACCAATCTCCACGGCGTCGATTTCCCTGCCGTTCGCGTGCAAGAGCGAACGGAGGTGCGGAGCCAACGCGCGATGTTTTCCGACCATTTGCTCGACGAAGTGAACTGCAGACTGACTTGAGTGATCGGGGGGTAAGCGAAGCTGCGCAAAAATTGAACGCAAGCTGACGTGTCGGTGTTGAGGTCGACATACTCCAGCTGGGAGAGATTGAACTGTTTGAGTTCCCCGTCCGCCTTAGGTAGGTACCTCATTGCACAGCCTGATGTCAGAATGCAGAATCTTGTCGAGACGGAGTGTTTTAAGAAGCGGCAAAGAGGACACGATATCCACCATCCACGACACAGGTAAGTCGATTCGACTTCGAACCCGTTATTGATAGGATGAGGTCGGTCAGGATTTGTGGCACATGAAATAGTAAACCGAGCGTTCTGTACTGGGATCTCACTGTCAGATGCTCCAACGCGGGGAAGTCGCACCAGGCAAGAAAGCCCAAAGGTGTCCTGTCTTCATATCCGGAACTCGTGTCCTCACCATAGACTGAGATGTCTAGGGAAGTTAGAGACGGTGCGGTACTGCGTTGAACCGTTTGCTGGAGGTTTCTGGACTGCGCGCTGACCACCAAAGTCCGAGCTCTACGAATATCCACTTGTTAGGGTCCACCATCATGATGTACCGGGGAAGTCCCCTTGAACGCGCGTAGAGGACGTCCGCGACTCCGCAGCCTTCAGGTTTGGAGTGTCACCCTTGCACTTGACCGTGACGCAGAAGGCAGTCCAAAGCGCAGATGTGCCCAACGTAACAGACATGCGTCACCGACCGAATCCGCCTGGCAGCGAATGTGCCATCTGGCAGAGAGGGTCCGAGTCTGAAAGGACGGTTTTGGCAGTAAAGGAAGATGATGGAGAGGATTTCTTGAAGGCGGCAGAAATTATCTGAGCTCAGACTCGTCGTCGTCGTTCGCGTGATTTACTGACACAATCTGACAGCCGCCGTCACAGCCGCGGTGAGAGGCCAAACATTGCCAAACAATGCCACGCCCTCGTTGTCTAATGGTTATGACGTCAGACTTCTACTCTTCGACTTGGAAATCTGGAGGCTGTGGGTTCGAGTCCCACCGGGGGTACGAGGTGCCCTTACATGAAGTGATCCTGACCAAAGGTTTTGGCTCAAAAATTTTAGCGCGACAATGATACAACAATGGTATGGAATTATCCCTCCTCTTTCAGTACACCCATATTGTTAGTGCAACTCGGGTTTCAGAAGGCAGGAAATCTTGGCGCAGGTGGCATTCCCGAAGGTAGTCATGCACTCTAGGTGCGGCAGTACAAACAGAGTTGATAGTCCGTGGATTTCCGGGTCCTGACCGTCGAAAACGTGAGTCAGGCGGAGGTGTCCGAAACAAAGGCAAAGACGCCACGTTGTGAACAATACGTGACACCGAGCAGGAATGGTAGGTCGGCCGGAATATTCGATGGTGAGGTCGGTAAGACTCGAGGGAAACGCGGCTGGCGAACAGCTGGTATGATAGTTCGACAATGTCAGCTCTTTTAGAGAGGGTGCCGTGCAATGGTCAAAGAACGTCTGATCGGTACCGGGGGGGCCTTTGAGATCACATATGACCCCAAGTTCGAGGAAAGTGAGCAAGGGAGCCGACGACGATAAGAGTGCGAGTTGGTGCGTGCCATACGGTAACCGAAGCCCAAGACTCCGAGCTCTGGAATATGTCGAGAAGATCAAATAGTAGTGCCTTGGAGCGTGCAATGAACGCCTTCAGATGTTCGGAGCCACAAGTCCCTTCCGTAATGCGGATGTACGACCAAAGCGAGGGGGTAGCCAACGCCACCTCCCGCCGGTAACGGCAGACATGTGTGATCGTAGAAATCCATGTCGAGGAGAAGCTGTCTTTTTGCGGTCGCAACGTTAACTGCCCGAGTTTGAGCCGCTTGGCTGCGTCATCAAAATCGCATGCGAGCTGACAATGGTGAAATGCGTCGGAGAGGATTCCGGCGGGAATCGTGGATATGGGAGGAGTTATCTGTGGGACAGACGCTGGCTGCTCTGCTGGGGCTCGCCAGTCGCCAAGGCAGTCTGTTTATCTGTGCTGCCGTTGTGGACCACTTGGACGACCTGTTGCATTGATGAGAAATAAGTCAGATGTTATTTTGTCAAGAGTAACAGGGAGAAACAAGGTTGGGCACTTTGAGCACACCTTTGGGATGTTGCTACAATTGGAGTGAGAGAGAGGCAAAGTTTCGAAGCCTGGATAAATAGCCATGGTCGTTCAATCAAGGTTAAGGCGTGCCGATGCATGAACGCGCACCGGACGCGTGTTCCCAGAAGAACTCAGGCTCAGAGAACCTTTTGCCAACTGGTTGCGTCAGGAGACGAATGACACCACTACTCGCACAAATTCACAAGTATTGGCGTAACGGGAGGTTTCCTACATGTTCGTCAGTTCCGATATGTGTAGCTGTCGGCGTGACTCTAAAGTCGAATGTCACGAGTAGTGCGAGTGAGTGACAGTGACCATGTCACAGTGCTCACCATCACCAAATCAAGGTTGTAACCTTTCTTCACGCTTCCTCACTCTGATTATACTACAAATTCAATTGGTTCAGAATATCGCCGTCAACGAGCAAGGAGGGACGCGCCGTAGGAAATGAGTCGGGTTCTAATAACAAACCCAGTTTGGCCAGGCAATTGGGCCGTTCCGACATATTTTGTTGTACGTGTGCAGCAGTATCAGCGGGTATGGCTCCTTACAACTCAGCCTAGCTCAAGCTGTTACCATCGGTCCCGCCCATGCTTTCCTCTTCCGATCTGAGCTCCATTTCCAACATGGAATTCAAGTTGCCGCCAGTGCACATCCTCCGCCCAAGGTTTCACCATGGACTGTGCGCGGTGAAATATGCAGTGACGTTTTTGAAGAAGTGCCAGATTACGCTGTGCACTGTGCAGTCAGTTGTATGTGGCGCGGCTTTTCAAGCGACAGGTATTCCGACTTGTCGATCGTCTTCTCCTTGACACTTTCTATGGTCTTACTCCTCTAAATATTCACAATCAGCGGCGTTGGACTTCAAATATTGCCAGGATTGTGTAATCACGTTGCTCTTCTCTCTCTCTTCTCTACTCTGGAGCCCTGGTTGGTATCTCATCGTCACCTGGGCTTCACCAACATCATCATCGCATGCGGTCCACTGCCAGCATAAGGTTCGGAAACAAAGACCAGAGACCGTCGAGTCGCGACTCTCATGGTGATGGTAGCGGTATCGGGTACGCTATCAATATGTCATGCGGTCAAGGCAATGAGCAAGTTCCTCGCGACCATCCCACGAATCAAGGGGCTAATCTGCCACATACGCGTAACCGCTGTAAAGACCGCCTTCAAGAGGCGCGGATGGCTACAGCAGACCACAGGTTGGTGTTCCGGCAAATTTGCTCATCTCGGCAGAACATACTTTGACAATCAACGGGACGCCTACAGGGCATAGTCTTCACCAACTGCTGTCTATTTTTGTGCCTCGCTTCTTTCGGTGGAGACGGAAGGGGCCCTCTTCAACTCATTGAAAGGCTATACTACGGTACAAATTTGCATCACTTTCCTTCAATTTCCGGTGTATCCTGGAAAATCTACTCATTCATCCAGGTCTCTCTCACCATGTCGCGCGTAGCGCGGGATCTCGTCACTCCGGCGAGTGTCTGTCTCACCTATATAACCTGCACCCATAGCAGAGCAGACATCACCACCCTCAAGCATGAATCGCCAGCATGACCTCAGTGAATTGATGTCGTCTCCTTACCAGTATGCACCCGCACCAACGGATGATATGTTCGTAGTTCCCTTAATCATGACCCAACTGCTTTGGCTGATGTTGCTGCAGGGGCACTCCCCATAAAGAATTTTCAACTCCTCCACGTCGGTCGCAATCAATAGATCGTCCAGAAACAGACAAATTATCTGTGGGTATCTTCGATTTTTCGTCACTGTATATTTAACGAATGCAATCAATAGATGATTGAGAAAGAGAAAGAAGAACAGAATACACTGGAAGAACAGACTGACTTGGTAGGACTCGTGAATAGTTTCTGCCACGAGTGATATTTTATAACCACTCGCCGTGTGTAGCTTTTGGACATCGCAATGACAACGACTTTTAATAGCCTTCTGTAAGCCTTTCCTTTTAATTCTTCATGTGCCACATTCTAATTACGAAATTATAGGAGCGGGACACCGATTACGGATGGCCAGGTGAGCAACGATAGCCATTCGTTCCCCTGCCAGAATTTTTACTCACGTTGGGGCACAGAGCTTAGTATCATTCCTGTGCATCTTCGTCTTGGTCTGGTGGGTCTGGGCAAGCCACGTCATCTACAACGCTCGCTTCAGAGAATACAACTGGCCGAACCGTGTCTTCCTCTTCCTCCAGCTCCTCGTCTTCTGCGCCTTTGCGGCATTCACCAGTGGCTTCAATATAGAGAACGGTATTGCTGATGACTCTGCCGACCAGAGGATACTGGATGGGCTCCGTCTGGATCAAGGCTGGGATAACTCGACGATCATCGCACAGGCTGCCCGAGAAGATAGAATTCCTGTATTGAATGAGCGGGGTATATCCATGGTCATGGCCACGAGTCGGTTACTGGTGCTCGTGCAATATCTCTACGGTGTGTGGCCACGTTTGACTGTTCTGTCATCTATTCTAACCCACCAAATCCAGCGTTCGCCAAAGCCAGAGTGAAGTCGGAAAGGATCCGTCACCCATTCTACGTGCAACTTGCGCCCTTCGTCATCTCAGCTGGGTGCTACATCGCAGCATTCGTGACTCTCGGCGACAACCCTTCCCGACACAGCCAGATCGCGAAGATCATCTTGTGGTTCTTCCCTGTCGTACTAGAGATCATCACTCATCTGGTAGTCTCCTTCCTGGTTGACTCGGACCCGGTTCCTAGCGACGTGGATGCTCTTGCGGTGAAGTACAACGCAAAGACCTTCCGAGCTAGAAGCGCAACAGTGTTTATTATTGTACTAGGCGGCGGACTGGACTCCATTACCTCTGGGTTCCACTTCATGATTGGAAACCTCTCGTTTGGCACCCACCGCGTTGGGATAGTTCTGTGCTCCTCCATTATATTTATTCTGCTATTCACCTTGCACTTCACCAGTATTCCTGATCGAGATCGATTAGATGTACGAGGCGAGGGAGTCAAACGGAGAAGAGATCTCGGTCTTTTCTTTTTCGGGTTCTTCTATCTCTCCGCGGTCGTAATCACGCTGCAGGGCATCGGGTCGATGTTACAGGTTGGCGTGAGTGGACACAACCTTCGCTGCCTCACGAGGTATCACCGCTAATATTTGGCGAACAGAACATCGGCGATAGTATGCAAACGGCGTTCCAGTTCTTGCGAGAGAGCGAATCCGCGCTGAACTCCACGGACTTTCACACCCCTCTCGACCTCGGCGCATACGACATGGATACCAAACATAGGATCACGAATAATGGATACAACATGACGCTCTTTGTAAAGACCATCAACTCTTACATCCCTCCGGACCCAGATTTTGCGCACCCGTACCAGATTGTTCTGCATTTGGACATGGACATATTATCGGACGGTCTCAACGTATGTTGTCGTCCAATGTGTGTTCATTATAAGACGTGTCTCTTACCTAGGTTGCCGCAGACAATCAACGCTTTTCAGGAGGAAGATCTACAGTCTCTCGTGACCAACAAGATCAACGCCTTTCTAAGCCTTCCCGATACAGAGATGAACAAGGCGCGCTTCATGGACGTCGTGAACACTGTTATCACCACCAACGCCACTCCAGCGTTGTGGTTTTTACCATTCGGCGGCGCGACCTTGCTGTTCCTCGGGATAATGACGCTGATAGACCGTTGGTCGAGCAGTACGTTTTTTCATGAATAACTCTATTCCTCGTTTACTATACTTATACGTGCACCTCTACCTCCTATGATACAGTGAAAATCTACACATGGTGCCAAGTCGCGAGTAGGTTCACGGCGGGGATACTCCTGGTTGGCCTCGCTGCTCTCGATGAACACGCATCCACAATTACCGTCGACGAGAACTATCACTATACCGGTTCAAGGATTTGGAAGCTTG